AAGCTGCTCCACTAGCTCGCCCACTGCTGGGCCTGCACAGTTAAAATGTTAATCGCCAAGTCAAATAAATACATAACAAATTCCCAAAAAGTTACATTACCTGCTCGATGAGCTCAGTCTGTTCACGATGAACCTCGTCAGTTCGGCTCGGAGGTCCCTAATCTCCTCCTCTTTTTGAACGTAGAGGAGTTTGAGGTCGTCTCTCTCCTCCACGAGCTTCTTGAGTTCGGCCTCGAATCGGGTTAGCTCGGCTCGGGATTCTCGATGGAGCGTCATGGACTTCATATTAAGGAAAAAAGTCAGACTTGGAAAAATGAGAATAAAACACAAGCATAATTATGGAGGCGGAAACTTACTTGTTTAAGAAGCCGCTGGGCCTCGTCAAAAATGAACGAAGCATCCGGGTCAGGACCATCTTCGACCCATGTGAAGCACCCCTGGAAAATATCATTCCCTTCGTGGGCTGTCCCTACGTCGGGAGTCTTCACAGCCCGAGCATCTTAGAACTGCCCTTCAGAGAACGTAGGGCCAGGTGGCGATTCATCTATATTAATTATCCCAAGTGAATCACTTGGGACATTCTCTTCTCTTTGAGGGGCCTCAGAATTAGACCCTTCAGGCATACCCGCCAGTCGTTCTTCACGGCAGGGTGCACTTTTATCACCCGATGGCTCGGGGACTCTGCTTGTACTTCCCTCCGAGATTTCTTCGGTTCAATATTGAACCGCATCAACCACCACCGGTTCAGCGGTCTTTGAAGCTTCAGTGCTTCCCCAAGCAGTCGGCGTCCTCTCTTTCTTCCTCCTCCTCCCGAAGTTGTTGAACCGCGTCAGCAGACAGGGCTGTAGGGTCGACCCTCGGTTTTCGAACCTTACTTTTTCTGGGTTTCGGGGTATTTGGAGGTGAGGCCTTTTTCCTCTTCTTCTCTTTGTTTGGCCTCGGGATCTCCTCTTTACCAAGCGGAGGCGGCCTCATAACAACATTGTCTCCGAGGCCTGCATGAGGAGAAACTAAGTATTTTACAGAGAAGCATCAAGATATGAACAAAGGAACTCACCGTGGTTTTTAGCTTTCCACCGACCCTTGGCCAAATCACGCCAACAGCGCTCAACATGTGAAGAAGTAGAGGCCATTTGTCGAACCCAACCTTTAAGGTCCGGAATCGCACCAGGAAACCAAGGGGAAGCTGCACCATGAAAAAGAAATTAGATCGAAGGTGAATAAAGAAAGCAAAATAGTAAACATCATCGATGGACTTGTACTTACGTTTCATGTTCCATTCCTCAGGGAATGGCATTTTTTCGGCTGGGATTAGGTCAAAGGTCTTGATTTGGACGAACTGGCCCATCCATCCTCGGTCCTTGTCCTCATCAATGCTCGACAACAGCGCCTTCGTGGACCGACGCTAGAGATTTATCAACCCACCTCGATAAAGGCGAGGGCTGTATAACTTGATCAGATGGTCAAGGGTAAAAGACATCCCCCTGACCTTGCTCAAAAAATATCTGGGCAAAATGACAATGCGCCAGAAAGAGGGGTAGATCTGGCCAAGGGTCACCCGATATTGGCAACAGAAATCGAGTATGACTGGATCTACGGGGCCCAATGTGAAAGGATAAGTATACACACTTAAGTAACCTTTCACATGGGTAGTGATGTCCTCATCAGGGGAAGGAATCACCACTTCCTTGTTTTCCCAATTGTAGTCCTCTTTCACCCGCTCGAGATCATCTTCAGATATCGAGTAGATGTATCGGGACATGGGCTTACATCGACCTGGAACTGATGAGGTCTTTTGATTTTGAAATCGGAAAACAGCTCGCACGGCCCAGGAACGCACTCCTCGATGTGAGTCTCCACCGGCGTTTTATCAACGGTCGGCTGTGATGAGGAGGCTTTTTATTTCTGAGGGACAGTTTTAGATGTTTTAGCCATCACTATTGTGGAATTCAAGAAAGGAGAAGAAGTTGATGTTATGACAAATACAAATTAAAGAGGAGGATGAACTTAAAGAAAATTGAGAAGCTTGTAGAGATTTGGGAAAAGGTTTTGGAAGTAAAGATTGTAAAGATTGAGAAATTGATCTATTTATAGTGGCAACTTCAACGGTTTGAGGAAACTAGTGGCCGACCATCAGCCACCATTAACTAATGGCCTTAGGGAACTATGCGGACGCGACCCTTCAGTCACTTCTGTCGCTGAAGTCATGGAATTGACATCATGATCGAGGTATTAGCAAATCGAGGATAAAATCGTTTCTTATCATTTCACTCTAAGAAACGCGGAGACTATCTGTAGACGGTCGAAATTAGGTATACCTCGATTTCGTAGTCTTGAGGAGTTGCTTCGAGAATAAGCTCAAAAAGGACCTGGCTCGAGCCCGATGGCGGAGTATAGAACTTGAGGATCGAAGTGCTCGGTGAAAACCAAGGCCGAGTATGACCAACCTCGAGTAAGATATAATAACGGAATGGCGAGATATTAGCAACCAACCGAAGGTCTCGGCGTAAATCTCGGGATAAATCATACCAAGCGGTTATCGGCGCCAATCACGAGATTTATTTTCCGTAATTAGAAATGTACCTTATTTAGGACTCCCCTATTATATAAAGGGGAACCCGTTCATTTGTAAGATACGTTTTTGACTGATAAGATAATACATACACTTTTAATCTCTAGCTATTTTATTCATTGTTCATCAGAGTTGCTTTGTAACTTGCTATTCATACTATTCCACCTCGAGGCTGTCATAGCTCGAGGCCGAGATTGGGCTTGCGCACTGGTTTGGCTTATTTTATTCTTCAATTTATATATTTACTTTCTTGTTTATCAATTGGTATTGGATTAAATCACATACCCTTAAAACCACAATATAAGTTTAATTGTTACTCGGATTTTAGGGTAAACAGGCATATTTTGGTAGAAACACTGGTTTGATTGAAGAGAGAGAGAGAGAGAGAGAGAGAGAGAGAGAGAGAGAGAGAGAGGGAGGGAGGAGAAAAACACACTTACACACTGTTTTCATGTCACAGAAAGAAATTTTCATACTCGATTTGGACATGAATATTAGGTTAACAGCCTGTTTGGGCAAGTATTTTTTTCTATAATTAAGGTGTTTGGACAAGTTTTTGGAAGGAAAAAAAATGCTTTTGAAGAGAAGCAGAAGCAGTTTTTGAGAAGTAGAAGTAATTCTTGATAAACAGAAAAAAATAGATTCTCACTAAAAGCAGATTTTCTAGAAGCACTTTTGAGAAAAATACACTTAGAAGCACTTTTTAAAATCTTGGTCAAACATTAATTGTAACTCAAAAATACTTTTTAAACTAAATTGTCAAACACAAAGTGTTTCTCACCAAAAGTACTTTTTTTGAAAAGCACTTTTGAAAAAAAATACTTTTCAAAATAAGCTGATTTTAGAAGCTTGGCCAATCAAGCTTATAAGTGTGAGCAAACATTGAGTTAAAGTTTACTCTATGTCACCTAATCACCTGAAGGATCAAACAAATTTTCTTTTACTATTACATACTCTAAGTTATAAAAGAAAATTATGACTTATAGTATACTTTTATGTAATTTAAAAAAAAATCACATTTAAAATGAAAGTGAAATAATCTTCAAGTTAAACTGAAAACTAAATAATTTATTGACCCTCATACTTCAAAGTCCAAACATCATCATTCTTTTAGAACGGAACGAGGTGTTGCATTTTGCATCTAAACTTTTTAATAAATTTCAAGTGTAATAAAATTTTAGTATTTGCAGAAGTACGTCAAGCCTTTTTAATAGGCTGTTTGGCCAAGAATTTTTTTTGGGCCAAAAGTGTTTTTTTTGCCTAAAGCACTTTTGGCCAAAAATTAAGGTATTTGACCAAGCTTTTGGAAGGAAAAAAAGTGCTTTTGAGGAGAAGCAGAAGCAGTTTTGGAAAAGCAGAAAAAAATAGCTTCTCTCCAAAAACACTTTTCTGAGAAGCACTTTTGAGAAAAATACACTTAGAAGCAGTTTTCAAAAGCTTGGCCAAACACAAACTACTTCTCACCAAAAGCATTTTTTTTTAAAAGTACTTTTAAGAAAAACACTTCTCAAAATAAGCTGATTTTAGAAGCTTGGCCAAATAGACTATAAATGTCAATAACAAATCTAAAGATGTTTAAACTTTAAAAGAATGCTAAGGAGAATAAAATTACATAGTAACATCATTTCAGGGAGAGTAAAAATAATACAAAGTAAATCCATTGCTAATTTTTTCTGTACACCAATTAAACAAGAGATTGTAGTATTCACATGGAAATCTTTAGCTTTCAAGTTGCCATCAGCATGGACTTCTTCCATCATAACTTTTTTTTCTTCCTATCTTTATTTCTGATCTAATTATGATATTTATATATAGAAAATGAATAAAGGATAGGGCATTATCAGCACTTTAGATTTTATACTACAAGGGAGGGAAGCAATCAATTATGCAGCAGTCTCTTTCAAGAAAAAAGAAAGGTTCCACATTGTTCATGTCACATCACTATTCAAGAATTAATTTCATGTCACTTGCTAATCAATATGGGGGGTTCACATCATTATCCAAGCATTAATTTCTTTTATTGCTAATTATGATGCCTTGTTTCTGTCTTGTCTACTTAGAAGGGGAAAGGGATAGCTCATAGATGACTCTGCATTATTTAATTGATTAATTACCTCTCCCAAAAACAAACAAAAATAGAATCAGTCTCCCAAGTTCTCCTAGAAATCTCAAGTACAGAAACTGGTTAGTTTGTTGAAGATATCATCATCACCGGATAATAGTGCACATCACTAGACTAAACAAGACAATTATTGTGTTACCTATGTGAATTATTAAGTGCAAAACCGACAATATGGCACCAATATGTCGAGGCTCGCAACTTGCACCGCTAATGACATCTCTTCAGATTCTCAGTTACCCATCCTGTGGCTGAACTATGATTTGGTTCTAATGCATGGACTTTTTTGTTCATTTGACTAACAGGAAATCACCAAAAAGAAAGATTAAGATACACTTAATTGAAAATAGACAAAACATGCCCCCTAAAAAAAAAAGAATCAAGTAGGGCAACGAGCTAGTTTATCTCCATACAGACACAAGAAACCAATAAATTTAGAGAAACCTTGATGCAAATACATGTATTTTTCATGTTAAAATCGCCAGCATTCAAGGTATGAACAGAACTTCACTTCAAATACCAGCAGCTACGAGCAAAGAGGATTCTACATGCTAGGTAAGGAAGCGGCCAGAAAGCTGAACATCTCATACCTAGCACCTTGCCAGCACAACTCAAACCCTCTTTGAAGCAATTTATCCAAAGAAAACTGCAACGCAATTCAATCCATTATGCATGACCTATATTCTCATCTGCGTGCAGCCAAGGATCGTTCCTCTACACCTTGTCATTGGAGTAACTTGACGCCACACTGACCTCTCACTTCCGAGCGTCAGAACATCAACATCAGAAATCAATTTAATGTCCCAATTCCAGCGCTCCGGTCCAATAACCCCTCCAACAATATAGATATCATCTCCCAGACCTATCATTGCAAAACCAATTCTTCTACGAAATTCAGATGCCGAAACTACCATCTTCCGTGTCTCTCTTTCCTGCTTGTAAATGAGCCAATGACTCAGTACATAAAGCTCATCCTTAACGACAACCATGGGGCCTTGGAGCCAACCATACTCATGGACTGTCCAACCCTGCTTCACATTTTCCAGAACCTGAACAGTTGACAAACCTTTGTGCAATACGTGAACTTTACCGGCAATAACCACTCCCGAGCAAGCAGAGTTGTGTGTGCGATGGAGATCAGGGATCGGATCCCAAACATTCTTCTCGGGATCATAGATTTCCGCTCTTGATATTGATTTTCTGCAGTTAGTAAAACCCCCTGCAACAACTATCTTCCCATCAAACACACAACAAGCGAACATGGCACGAGGCACAATCATAGATGCGCACAGACTCCATTCTCTGGTTACCGGGTCATACGACCATACCTCATCAGTGGCAAAACTTCCGTCTTGGTCACCAGTTAATGGATCCACAGCATCACTGCCACCACCTAGAACAAAGAGTTTTCCAGCAGTAGAGACCACACCAAAGTGAGCAAGATGTCTGATATTCGAGGGAAGAACAGGGAGGGTAATCCAAAGATCACGCATAGGATCGTAAAGCTGCCACAAATTATCAGGGTCAAAGGCACAGACACATAAAAATTCTTCAGATGAATTGACCTCCTTTCTTGCCTTAAATAGTTCGCGACTTCGAATAGCAGCTTGCCAGGAACGGGAAACAAGTTCTAATTTGGGATGAAGATATAACGGAACCCGTGCAAGACACCTGAGTGCAACAGCATCAGGGAGCCCTTCGATGAGTACAGACATTACGGTCAAGCTCGCATCTACCTCAATCAGGAAATACTGAAGTGATGGTGGTAACTGTTATTTTTTGAAAGTCAACCTGAAACATTAAAAAGACAAATTAATGTAAAGATAAAGAACAGACACTATAAACCATACAGCTGTACTGAAAATGCAAAATGTCAATTATCTTTATCCATCGATCCCATGACCAAAGCTCCATGTGCTTTCTAAATGCCCTTTCCTCCCCAATCTTTATGCTCATTTGGACATGTAAAAAGAAGACAAAAGGCCACCTCTCTCCAGACACAAGAAAGGAGTGGGAAAAAAAGAACCTTTAGTAGCACGAACAACAAACCCGCAGGGTTGAAGAGGGAGACAACAAAGGATTTGGTTTATCAACTGCACTCACATCCCCCTCTATTAGAGATTTGACTATTTGATATCCTCGTCAAGCACTAACAGCTTACTTGAAGTGCTACTACATGGATAAGTCACAACAATCTTCTAGAGCACAAACTCTTTCATTTGGAAAAGTTAGATTTAAAGACCACCCAATAGGAGAAATGAAAGATTCTCCTTTATAATTTCAATATGCCTCATAAGATCCAAAGCACCAGAGAACAGTGAGTCACATTAGCATAGGCAATGACAAACCAAAGACCTGGAAAGCATTTTCATTGCAGAGCCATATTAGTTAAATATCATCTGTTCTTTATATTTTTTGCCGAGAAGGCAAATATTATATGTTCTACATCTATGAACCTCCAAAGCATTTCAAAGAGAAGAAAGTTTTTATTTAACAAAGACTAAGAAGGTACTGTATCAAATACTTGGCTTGTCAACTAATTTTCCTGATTTTGGCAAAACAATATAGCCCTTCATGAAGTAGCTACAAAGTCCAAAACTAAGCCAAGTTTTAATTGTGATTAAGGTCTTATAGGAGAGACACCTGCTGTAAACTTGTTCCACAATTAATCACCTCTTCAACAGTCCCAACGTGATGAGCAATGATCGGTAGCATTTCTTTCCATCACTGAACAATTTCCTCGAAAATAGCCTACTTCAATACTCCATTATTTAAAAAGTAAGTTGATATTTTTTCCTACTTCCAACCCAGAAATTCTTTAGAGTGTCATTTAACTTTTGGCAAGAGTTGATGGTTGACACCTCAATAAGTACCGAGTGCTTTAAAATTAAGCAGATCTTATGGCTGGAGAAAATGTATCATTTTCTATTTGTAGAGAAGCAATTGGAGTAAATGATATTTACAATATCTCTCAGAAATGTATCACAGTTGATGGATTCACATTAAATTTGCTAAAAGAAAATCCCAAAAACTCAGCTTGCGTAAACTGACCAATGAAACTTCTGGCGGACCTGATTTCTCAATGCATCGACAATTTACTATGCCTTAAAAAATGCTCATTCGACAAAAGTATACAACTGTATTTTACCAAAGCCCTCCAAACAGCTAGATATACATATCCAGATGTGCGTGCCAACCTGATCTCTCAAAATAATTTTGGAACTTAGAGATAAAATGTACATCTATATTATCAAAATTAATAAATAAATAATAATAGTATCATGTACATCTACAGACTCTGGTTGTATCTCATCCCAGAGCGGAGATAGCACTCGTAGTTTCCTAGAAAAGGCTGAAAAGGGCAGGAAATTTCAAGCAAATCTAGGGGAACAACCAAAGATAAAAGGAGAAAAGACAATTAAAGTAGAGGACAATATGGCTACCACAAATCCTCCTAAAGTAATAATTTATTCAATTTGCATTATCTTCCTTGTCAGTATGTTAAGTTGAAGACAACTAAAATGTTACCAATTACAGTAGTTAAATACCTGGGCAAAACTGTTCCCTGTGTGATATCTCCTCAGCTACTTTCTGAATAACCAAAATAAAAATGTTAAACAGAAACTAAAAAGACAATTCAGCAATAAACTCTGGTCGTGACATCACCTACAAATGCGACCACTATCCCTCTTCCTTCTTTGCACAGGGTAGAGTAAACAGGAATTGCTCCACCAAATTCAGCAACCTGGATCGACATTTGGGGAGATTAAGAAAATAAACTTACAATAAAGTTAAGGTACATAAAGATAAGATTAAGTGTTGGAGGATGTAAAAGAAGCAAAAGATTTCCTATTAAAGCTGAAAAGACACCAAATTAAAGTTGTACTTTCACTTGATTGAAACACCTTCCTTTAAAGGAAATAATTCGCTTTTCCTTACTTAAAAAAAAAAATCGAATAGCAAACGGATTAATTTGAAATAGTATGTATCTATTTAGAGATTCCCTTGCTAGTGGAGACTTATTAGACAGAGAAACTGCCAGCAAGAAGGAAAGAGAACATTAAGACATGGAGAATAAGGTTAACCAAGGATGGATAGAATGCCATCAATCGACTTGGTTCTTGTAATGGTGAATCAAGTTTCTCCCTACACTACAGCCCCCAAAGTGTGGCCTAAAAGCAGAGGAGTTGGTGTAATAACCTCTGGAAAAAAAGTTTGAATCCCAGCAGACGCAACAGGTGATTCATCCTATCAGTCTAACCCTAGGTGGTCAGAGTTAACTGATACTTATATTGGTGGGAGGTAGCACGAAACCCAGGAACTAGTCAAGGTGTGCACAAGCTGGCCTAAACACTATAGTAATTAAACAGGATAATCTTTACATTATCAAAAGCAGCATCTGCCCCCACTCAAAAATAAAACAGGACAAGGAAGCATTGGGAGGAGCTTATCTATTTGTAGTTAAAAGAGCATTATCAGCAGCTAAAATGTATTACAATGGACCTTTACCCCCCTAAACCATGGAGAATTTAAATGAGGGAGACTTAGGACACAAGTTACATTGTATACAATCGTAGAAGTAGGGTCAAATAGTTCCAAAAAAATTGATTGTGAGAGATTTAGGTCAAAAGCGATGTTATATACAATACAAAAAGTAGTATCAGATAGTTCAAATTTTAACCTATGCCTATACAAAAATCCTCATGATAAACCATTTCCATTTTGGGACTTACTGTTTGTTTTAATTGGAAGAAGAAAAAGGGTGGTTATAGATAAAGCAAATCGAACACAGGAGAAGTGGAAGGCCAAATAAATGAAACAGCCAAAAAAAAATGTTAAGAGGTCATTTTAGATCCACAAATAAAGCAAAGTAAGAAATGATAGGCGACAGTGACCTTGAGGAATAAGCATAAAACGAAGCAATTATCATATCAAATGCGGTAATCTGGAGGTATTATACAAATATAAACGACTAGATGCAATAGAATGTTCAAGACTTCAAGTAGAATACATAAAAGGATAAACTGAGAGGAGGATGCTGAAAATGATTTGGGCATGTCCGATATAGACTTCCAAATGCACCGGTTTGTAAGTGCCACTATTATGATTGAATGTGTCAAAAGGGGGACAAGGTACATCCTAAAGTCATACAGTCTCTTAGATAAGCAGAAAACACAATAAGAACAAATGATCTATATAGGCAATACCCACTAGTTTGGATTAGGCTTTATCATTGTGTACAACTTACATTATGTTTGGCATTTTTCAAGAATCTTTGTACTTTGGTTACTGTATCATATGTTTGATTAGAGATAAATGTGATATTGCCTATAGTTGTGAAACTCTTGATTTGTCTCGACAGAAACTTTTGAGTATTAAATGAAAATAGTCCCAAACTGAATGGCATGGATCATACTGCTGATCCTAGCTACTTTGGAGTTTGACGCACAGTTGCTGGTGTATTGAGAGCCAGCAGCTAAGTTCTTTAGCAACAATATTAGGGTAGTACTATAAGCAACCACGACGGTCATATACCTATTGTGCCAAATAGTAATTGGACAAAATCCCATATCTTGATGATAAATGGCTGCATTTGCTAAGTTGCTACAACTATAAATGTGTTTATTTATTTGGAAGAGGAAATCAACCAATTTTTTCACCAATCCCGTTAAATATACTCTATCTACATAAACTAGAAGGTTTCTTCTTCTTTTCTCCCCAACGGAGTGATTTTAGGAAAATATACCAAAAGGCAATATGATACAGAAGAGCTCATATATGGTTGTTATCAACAAAGAAGTTAAGATCAAATGGATTTCTAAAGCTAGGTGATTAAAGACTCTGAGCAAACAAAAACACCTAAATCTTAACATGACGAATCAAATGATGGGCAGCTGAAAAAGTACATAAAAATCATTTCTAAAATTAAACCCAAATCCCTAACATAAATAAAGAATTATAAAACAACAACAACTTTGGGTGTTTGAACAATTGGGCCAATCTTGAAAAGCAAACAAAATGTTTATGCAAATTCAAAAATTAAGTGCACATCAATCCCGATTACCAGCTGATTAAGACGAAATTGAAAAAAAGAAAATGATATACCTGAACACGAAAACCCTGCACCCTTTCAACAACTACAGCTGAAACAAGACCGATGCCTTTTCTTGAAAAAAGTATTTGTTGTGTTACAAATGAAGAAAAAAAAATCAATTACTGAGTGTTATAGATTAGCTTTGATTTTGTAACAGAAACAATTTTGATTATTCTTTTGGGGAGAGAATTGGATGGGTACGTTTTTTGCAGTCAGGCGAGAGTGTTTAAGGACAATTACACAAGAGTGTTTTTGGAAAGTAGATGCGTTTACCCTAAGAAATTAAAAAAAGAATACAATTAGGCACAAAAGGATATTCCCATTCCATTACTCTGTCGTTTGGTTTTGGTTTTCTGTTTATTTGAACAAACTAAATATTTTTTTTTTCTCCATATTGGTAGTACTAGTTTTGGAGCTTGACATTAAAAAAATTACTTTGAAGATAAATGTGTTTATAAAAAACAATTACATTTCCAACATCCTCAACATTTCTTTTCTTTAGGTTGACATTTGAAAGAGTTTTTCCTTAATTTCTTTTGGCTTTTAAATTTTTTTGATTGTTACTGTATTTCTTTTGTTTTCACATGTCACTTTGTTGTTCAATGTTTGTTAGTCAGTGTTAATGAATTTCCAGCTAAATACACTTCAGTTTTTCCTAATAACATCATTATAGGAATCTCCTTTTTAAGTTTCTTTTGAAGCTACAATTTGACCCTTTTTTGCATTTAAGAATTTATGTGGGACAATATGTCTCATCTTCCTTCTTCCCAAAAGAAAAAACTAATTTTCAGTGTCCATAAATCTTCTTCAAATTGTTTGCTTAAGAGTTAAGATACATATAATTATTTTTACTACAATAGATAATTAGGCCAATGCATGAGAAGCTTTGACTAATCATAAGTGTGAAAGTTAGCTGTAACTTGCGAGTAATTAAGTACTAGAAGTTAAAAAAGAGAAAAAGGATACGGAAAGTGGAGAGTTGATTGAAGTTAGAGTGGTATGTTATGACAAAGGGTGTGTTTGGCAGTACGGAAAATGTTTTTTAATTTTCT